AGGATTGAATTAACAGAACATACACTGAAACATCACAATCAAAACACGCAGTGAAATCATCTTTACCCCCCTATTTATAAGACCTCTAACAGAAGGTCATAGCTAGTCAGAACTTAAGACTCAGTCCTTCCAGTCTTCATAGGTGCTCAATGCCACACAGAAATCTCAAACATTACACATAGTGTGCTCCTAAAGCTCTTGGTTACAATATGCCACTTTTTCCAAAAAGCAGACAACTACTTTTCAAAAGAGCTGCCCAGTACTGTAACAATTTTTCTCCTACTGAAAACCTTCAAGGACCTAAATAGAAATTAACACATAGAAAAATGTCTCAAAACCAGGGTCAGTCATGGAAGCCACTTTTGCCAGCCCTAGCTTATATGCTCTGCTACATTTTCTTTCACCATAAAATTTTATTGAGTCCTGATATTTTTGTTGGTTTCTGGGTGCCATCAACTCTTATTACTACCACATTCCTTTTGCTGAGTTTGAATATTTTTTATCTATCCCTTTTATCTCCTTTTACCAAATAAAGAAATCAACTTAATTTTTGTTGTATTATATTTACTACACAACTGCAACCCTCTACATAAATTAAAATATATTTCCAATTATGTGTAGAAAAAGATAAAGCTGCAAAAACTGAAGCAAGCTAATCATAAAGCTAATAGCCTAATTACAAATCTTACCATAAAAAACCACAAAGCCCAAGAATAAAAATAAAAGCCTTCACAATGGAAAAATAATCTGTTTTCTTATTCAGACAGTCACATTTAAACCCTTATACACTTCACAGCATCTGTACACCTAAAATACAGATATTTAAGGCTGTTTGACCTCGGCATGTTACTTGGTCATTCTTAAGTGTCATAATATAGGATGGGAGGTATCAACATTTTGCTCCTGAAACAAATAACTAGGGAAGAAGAAACTGTATCAACCTACCAAAGACTTTTTTTTTTTCCTCTCTACTGTGCTCCTGCTTGGGTTAAATACTCAAAATTAGCATAAAGAACATAAAATTGTCCTCAATATTAGCACTATTACTCTTTCACTCCACTCACATTGACAACACTGTATGACCAATGATCATATAGTTACATGTCATACACATTACATCACTAATTACTGTTAAGAGAGGCCATAAGCTACAAGGCATAAAGCATTGCTTGCAAACATATCACCCCAAAAGAGAACCTTCATAGCTAGCACAAAGCTGAACTACTGCCAATAATGTGGAATAAATTAAAAAAATATTCAAAGTATAGAAAGTACCTAGGTCTATTCCAGCAACTGTGCTTATTAAGGAAGACACTTGTCTGCAATTTCCTTCCCAACCCTCCACATGATATGGAAAAATGATAGAGAAGTTCCTTCAATACTGACACATTTTTTAAGTTGTTGAACTGCTTGGACAACACTGGCAAAGTTTTCAATTTTGTCCAAAACCAGAGGTTTGAACCTATAGTGCAAATAAAGATATTTATTTTAAATAATGCCTACACTTAAGAAATGCTAAGTTTTGACAGATACTAAGGAAGTACATTAAATTCTTAACTACTAGTATACTTTCACTTCTAGCTTAAGCAACCAAAGGTAGAGAAATTATGAATGTGGGCGTGGAGAAGAGGACAGACATCCTGATATCTGTCTGGAACAATCTCTGCCCCCCTTGGAGTTCCTTTGTTTTAGCTTGTTTTGTTTTGAGCAGCAAGAACTCTGCAAATGGGTGTTCCCAGCTTCTGGCAGCCATATGTGCTGCCTACCATCTGTTTTCATTCCACTGCACTATGGAGACAAACATACTTTATTTTTAGTGTTCGACATTTCCTGATGTTGCACATAATAGGGATTATATCTCACATCTAAGCCACTAGATGTGAAAAATCTTCCATGGATAACAAATGATTAAAGGCAACAAGATAATTTTCACTACTTAACTTCTCAATACAAGCATATGATTTACATTGAAGTTTGCTTGATTCCTGTATGCCTGTGCTCTCTTTCTACATTGCCCACAAGGGGCTTCCTTCACATGTTTTAAGACATCTGATCAGCAACTTCCTGGAGTGCAGGAATTTACTGCTACTAATTTAGTGGGTTGCCACTAGTGGTTGCTATTCTGCATGCAGCACTCAGCAACAAACCTAGATGCAAAGAAACGAACAGCACTATGATCAACTCCAGACAGACAACAGTCCACTACAAACAAATACTTGTTTGAAAGGAAGAATTCTGTGCACAGGCTCCCACACAGTTCTGCTGGAAACCACGCAATCCAAAATTAGTTTGCAAGCATTAACTGGGTAGTATGGTACGTATGTACATTTTGATTGTAAAGATTTCAGTGTTACACCTCAGTGCAACTGTGGAAGGTACCTCCCAGACAGTACTTGCTCTTTAAAATGTGCCAGACTAAACTGAATTCTAGAAAACATTGCTGATTTTACCTATATTGAGATTAAGCCATGCACTTCTAGGCAATAGCATTTCTTCTCTCCCTATTTGGGCTCCACCTCCTCAAACTTCTAAGAAGTTGAGTAAGCACTGACTTTTAGCTACCTGTGCCCTGATCAACCTCTCCTATCACTCATCCAGTATTGTATCATTGCCAGCATAACTTAATACACACAGTTCTAGAGCATAATGCAGCACTGATCATTCCACCATATAATACTGCAAATTCAGGATACTGCAAGTTAAGCAACTATGGCTGAGGAATCACCTCTGGTTTAAAAAAAAAAATTTAAAAATTACAAATGTTTCAAGAGTTGCACTGAAGTTGAGATCAACAGAGAAAATTAGTGCCTTTGAAACAACTCATGCATGGGGAGATTCAAAGTGTTCACTGTTTATAGGGTACTCCAAAAGACACCTGAAGGAGTTGCATTTTAATCTTTCATATTATTTCTATTCAGTCTGAGGGTTTTACTTATTCTTTCCTAAAATAAGCACTTCCATTCATTGCATGAGATCTTAAAAATACAGAAGTACTTCTTGACTAATTAGATTGGCAAGACATTTTTCCATCTTTTTAATTCATTCAAACATTTTAATAATGGACTTCAATTACTCTACTGTTTGAGTGGATGATTTTATTAAGTTATCTGCAGCTATTACTTGTCCTCTAGAGATTCTGACCAAAATTGTGAGAAAATTACTTTTATCCTACCAGTTTTAAATTTATTCTGCCTTCTGCTTTCAAATTATCAGACGCAGTTAAGCTGTTCTGCAATTCCTCAAGGTCTGTCCTCTACTTTAACTAATACAATGCAAAAACATAATTTCTGTTTTAAAGCAGTATCTTTTTCAGCTATCAAAATAGGAAGTGGAAACATTTTTGTTGACTTGTGTCACTGAGTTTTCTTTTCTTTGTTTTTCCTTTCAATATAGCATACATTTTAGTCTAAAATACTTCTCTGTTGGGTTCTCACTCAAAGTTTCAGAAAAGGAATTTGGCTGAAACCAAGCACAGGAAGAGTTTTGAATGGAAACTGGCAAATTCACTTTGCATTAGTCAAGTGCTGATGAAGACCCTTTACCTACAGTTCCCTGTCACTGTGTTGGTTCTGTATTAAGGGACTGAAACCCTTTCTAATGCCCCTCACCAACTATCAATTTACATTCTGAAGCAAAGTATATAATCCATCACACATCATTCTGTCACTCCCAAGCTGCCATAATTACAGCTTTTTAAGATGTCTGTGGCATCATTTTGATGCCTGTGTCCACTGTGCATATGCAGTTTCCTAATGAAATCTGAATAGTCTTGTATTTGCTTAGATTTGTTGAAAGGTCAGCAAACATTTATTGCCACGTAAGTTATTTTCGACAATAATTTCAAATCAATACAGAGGTTGGAAAGGTTGGAAAAAGGAAGAAAAACTTTAAGACCACTGATCCTGAGAACATCATAGCTAATTCTCACTTGCTTTAAAACAACACTTTAGTTTGAACTTTGCATTTTAGTCCTATCATATAAAATTTATTGTACAATCCAGCCACAGTCTTCCTCACATTCTCTGACAAAGACTATCTAATCTGAGCATTTACTCCATGCTTCTTTCACAGCATTGCAACATCTGACATCTCTTGCAGGGCATTTTTATATTATATTGACTGAAAAATCAATTTAAACACTGCATTAATGAACAGAAAAATTTGCATATACTTTTACAACAAGTTTGGGAATAGTATTCAAAGCAACTCAAAACAATAGCTTAAAAAGATTTCAACCTACATGCCTACTTTTAAAAAGATTTATTAAGTAAATCTGAATTGATATCATTAAAAAAGCATTTATAATGAATAACCTATTTTTCATAGAAAAAAATTATGTTTACTCAGTTTTAAGCCTCAATTTCCTATCACAGGCCACAAAAATTTCACGTACATAATGAATGCTTCTTTCAAAATTAGTTTCTCTTCCTAGAAACCATCATGCTTCCAAATATTTCTAGGTATTGAAGACAGGCTTAATACTTAGATGTGTAACAAGGAAATTTTGAGCAATTAATTTCAATTCTTCTGGATATTACATAAAACCATATTTTTCTCTTAAAATGTCTAAATCTATTAATCTTTGAAATATTTTAAAATCATCACAAGCATCTGTTGTAACTGGACAATGGAATTTAAACTGGTTTTCCAAGTAGATTATATTTTTTTAAAAAAAACAAGCAGCCCATCCCAAAAGTCCAAATTAAAATCAATTACAATTGCTTTGTGCTCCAATGATCATGTTTTGCTTCCTAAAAACTGTTTCATTGTAAAGTTTAAGAAAAGGATACTTTATGGTTCAATCTCTTAATTTTGGTGTTTGCTTTTACAGCAAAGAGGTTTTCATTGTAATGTTTACCTATTTGATACATATGCAGTTCCAGATTGGTTAAATGGAAGCAGTGAAACAGGAAATAAGATGCCAGCAGGATGAAGAGGAACTGCCAACCATGGTACAATGTCTTCAAGGAATCCAAAGTACATCTCTGCAGTTCTGACTCTCAGAGGTCACTGAGTTTTATAATTATCTCCAAGCAATTTTCTCCACATCCTGTTAAGCTCTCTCTAAACAGCTGCGTGTGTTGCCATGCAGTTTCACCATCCCCTCCATTTAGAACTGCTTCCAACATAACTTCCGTTGCACCAGAAAAATCTGAATAGGAGCAGAGAGCTTTATCTATTGGAGGAAAAGAAACATAATTCAGTAAGCCACTGCTCCAGACAGTATATAATGCTAGAATGCATGTTAAAAAGAGTAAGTTGTAATGAATGTTTAAGGATCTCAGTTGCAACTACAACTTCCTCATGAGGGGAAGCAGAGGGGCAGGCAGTGATCTCTTCTCTCTGGTAACCAGTGACAAGACCCAAGGGAATGGCATGAAGTTATGTCAGGGGAGTTTTAGATTGGATATTAGGAAAACATTTTCCACACACAGAGTGGTTGGGCACTGGAACAGGCTCCCCAGGGAAGTGGTCACAGCACTAAACCTGACAGAGTTCAAGAAGCATTTGGACAGTGCTCTCAGGCACATGGTGTGATTCTTGGGGCTGTCTTGTGCAAGGACAGGAGTTGGACCTTGATGATCCTAGTGTGTCCCTTCTAATTCTGGATATTCTGTGACTGTATGCACCACACAAATTCATCTGTCCACCAGTGGAAAAAAAATGGAAAAAAGAAAATGAAAATATATATATATATAAAAGCCTTCAAATTTTTAGTTAGTATTTGTTTAGTACTCATGTTCAGAGGACCTAGTCAGGATTGATGCCACCAAACACAGAAACATCTATCCCTCCTAGTAAAACGTAAGTATTTTGTATGCACTGTGTTCTTGCTAGCACTGCTCTGTTGCAGGTAGGGCTGAGTATATTAATAAAACTGGGGTTTGTACCAGTTTTCATTAAATGCACAACATATTTCTTGACCTTGCTAAGAAACACTGAATTAGAAAAGTCAAAATACATTCACATTCAATTTTTAGTATTTGCACAATACTCTTTCCATATAAACGATTTATTTCCATTCACACCTCTGCTGCATGTAATTCATTATTTAAATTCCACACTTACCTCTCACCAGAGCAATTTCTGCTGTTGGAGATCTAAGTCTCCACTGTATTCTTCCACTCTGAAATGTGTGACTGCTTGTCCTAACTGAAACGTTATCTATTTTTAGACCGACTGACTTGCACTCAAACTTCCAGCTGATGGAAGCAGAGGATGACCCTTCCTTTCGGGCTAAATAAACCTAAATGGAAAGAAGACATAGTCAGCATGCAAAAACATGAGAGGACCAACACACATACCGAATCAATCCTTGTAACCAGGACATAAAAATCTTAAAATAAACACACTTTCATATCTTTGTCAAGCCTCCAAACCTTTAAAACTGTACAAAGTACAACTTTATATACAAGCTCCTTCTGCATCCTTAAATCTGTTCCACAGTTAGGTAATTGTATGTGTTCAATCCTTCACTAGGAAACACTAATCTATTTCAACATACTTAGTAAAATTCAAGCCATAAAAATACTTCAGCTTATGATTTAAAAAAAAAACCAAAACCCCAGACTTCTGTTTTGGGTTAGTTTCATTTAAATGCACAGGCCCTCACTTTGTTTGCTCAGTATCACTGATGCAAACTCTGTAATTAGCAGATTCTTCAGATGTGGCTGCACACCACTTCTCCTAGGACTTGACATGTCTTGGTGAAAGCATATCATACATGCCAGCCATATATAAGCCCTGTATTAACATTATATGAACTGCTAGAAATCTGCATAATTTAATGTGGTCCCAATGCTGTTCTAAACTTCACCTGGCTGAGCAGTCAAGCTCACATATTAACATTCATTAAAGTTACTATGAACCCTCACAAGAATTCTGTAATAAATGTCTGACAGTTCTTTACAGTCCAACATCTATTACCAGCAAACTGAGGTAACAGACATTACAGATTAAAGACTCAAAACTGCCATGGTCCTTTTGGAATCCTAAGTTAAGGGAATTTATCACAATTCTGTCATGCTCAGGCTTCTGATTAATGTCATACTGAATGGACTAAGACAGCTCTTTAATTTTTAACCTTGAAAGAATAACCCAGGATAAAATGGTAATAAAACACAGTAGGATGTTTTGCTAAAGATCTCACCCTAAGATAGAAATGTCATTGGCAGATTATACAACAGAATTTTAGTGTTACTAATTTCATGTTTAAGAAAGCTGAAAAACCCCAAAGGTGTGAGGTGTCACACTGAAGATCACCTATGAAAATGTAACAATTCCACCCGCTTTCATGGGATTATAATCTTAATGTTCATGAACATGCTGATCTCCACACATTTTTAAAGTATCTCAGCTAGTTCTACAAGAGATTTCCCTTGATCAGATGCTAGTGAACTGCTCTATTTGAGCAAGGAAGCCAGGACACTCAATTAATTACTATTTGATCGAGGTGCACAAAACAGGCCGTTAGGGATACAAATTAAAACATGGTTTAAAACTTGTTTCATCTTCCATTATAATATCCAAGCATTTAATCAGAAAAAGTGAGTTTCCTTTTGTGCCTTTTTGCATGTCCTCCAACTTTCAAACCTGCTATCCTGTTTCTTACATTGTTTGAAAAAAGTCTGAATCCTGGAAAAAAAAACCACGACAACTCAACTCAAAGTTGGCAATTCTTCTGGAAAACAAGCCTTTTAGAAATCCATGGATTTCATACCTGCAAATTCTTACATTCTTATTATCACCTACTGTGCTCTTCTTGTTTGAGCCCTGGTAGCCAAGTTATCTTTGGGTAATCTGATTGGATTTGTTTTGTACCTGTTTGAGTTGTATACTACAAAGTCAAGTGACACTGAATAGCAAGAAAATACACAAATATGATATGGCTACTACCAAATTGGCCAAGATGATTATTTATCTGAATTATTTTGCTCAACAACATTGCAAAGACAGAATACATAGCTGATGGTTATTTTCTATCACTCCTGGTCTAATACCTACAGATATATTTTCTGTGGCTTTTAGATTTAAAATTCCTTTCCATTCATCACATACTAAATGATAAATAAACATTTCTGTAAAGGCTCTTCTGGTTTTCAAGTTCTTGGACAGCTGCTAAATCAAACTCCAAAGCTGTATCTTAAAAAGCTACTAGAGGAGTTATGAAAAGAACATACCTTTCCTTTCCAAACCACCTTTCCTTTGCTGCTGTCTCCCATAATACAAACAACCCCCAACAAAAAGTCATTTTAGATTCTTACACAGACTTTCTGTAGGATGCAATTCCTGTAGAAATAACATGCCTTACCCACAAGCCTGAGATATACCTGGAGCTGTAGCTCCTAATTTCTCAAGGCCATTGTCTCATGCTTCTGAGGTGCTGTCGAATACAAGGGTAGTATTATTGCCTGGTCTTACAGATGAGTCCACCCTATTTTATCAGATTAGTAGAGCTGAGCAGACTTGTTCATTTCAGTGCTAGGACAGTATGTTTCTTGAAAAAGTGAGCATAACTCATCACTGCAGACTTGAAAAATATAATGTGCTGTCAGATTTCTAGCCAATCCTAGGGAAGCAAAAAACAGTTGTCCCTCATTCTGTATTTTGTTACTTCCTTTTACTATTCGTCTACCGTGTTGTGATATATTTTAAATTGTTCTCCTGTTCCCTTATTCTTTCTCTTTTATGTAGCATAACCTCTCCAACCTATTCCCCCATTGCATTGTGCGAGTCAGCTATGTTTAGACCCAGCACAGAAACCTCAGTAGACAGTTACACACTTAGCTCCATTTTCATCAATGGGAAGTAAACCACTGCCTAAGCTAGAAAAATGTTTGGTCAGAAACCCTTCAGACCAGTACAACTGCAGGGGAACAAAGCAATAAGATATAGCCCCTGACAAGAATGTTCAGTTCCACAGCTGGTTGCCATTGTGGGAAAAGCTGTTTGCTAGTAAATAACCCCTTCCCATCTCACAGGCATCAGCTCTCTTCCTAGATTTAGAGCATATGACTCTTCTGCTGCTCATTGTCCTCCAGATGGGAAGGATTCTGGGCAGGGTATACAATAATCTGGATAACTGACAGGATTTTGCCTTCTTGCAGATGGAACTGTAATATTTAGAATGACAATTTCTTCTTTTGGCTGTGTATCAAAGACACTACACTACACAGATACACATAAAGCTATTCCCCAAAACAACAATGAAGTATTTTTTTTAAAGAAGTACTGCTTTTCAATAAAACAGCATTTTCCCAAAAGCATGAGAAGAAAGCCATTCTTTCCAAAAGACAAGCTAAACTTAGTTCCCAAAGTCTTAAATCAGCTGGCAATCTTACCTGAAGCTTAACAGTAACATATATTAACATCAGCTAAGTTCCATGGACATGAAGAGAGGTTCTGATTCCAAACACTGGTGAGGAGTTTTCTATTTTACTGGAGTTATCACTTTTACAGTAGATTATACACTTCTAATTATTGCTATTCTTACCATTTTCCAATCTGTTTCAACCTTTCTCCAAATGCACTCTGCCTTCCAAACACCTGCTTCCCAGCCACTTATTTTTTCACTGTTGTTGGAAATCCGTGTATAACTATCATCTACTATATTGTAGGTGAGGTGGAAGAGTTTAGATGTCTTCTCCTTTTCAGAGGGAATAAAAAGCACTTCTTTTCTTTTCTGAAAAAGGCAAAAAATACAAGCACATTCATTCCTCAACACATTTCAATAAGACTACTTTTCTTTTAAACAATATGCCATGGTTTCCCAATTCACTTTTGCTGACAAGTGGAAAAAAGTCATTTTTAAGAAAGGTCAAGGACAAAAGCATTTCTGCAGAACAAAAGTTTTAAACCAGTTTCCTACAATAGACCTGCACCTTTCCCAGATGGAAGCAGTAATTTCCTTTTTAAAATTTTCATATAATTACTTCTAGAATTTTTCTTAAACTAATATAAAGTTAGCAAATTTAAGTAAGAAATTAACATTAGGGATAGAAAATTTATATGTTGAGTATATTTCTCATACTATCGGTAAGTAAATGGTTATTGTAAATAGCAAATGTAATTCTGACTACCACATACAGGTACTTGTGTATGACAGTTCACAAATCAACTTCAAAAAACTTAAGGTACAAACTTTGTAACTTTACAGTACTACTTCTTAAAAAAGTTTAAAAAAGGTTTGTCATTGCTCCTCTAACTTTACAGTACTACTTCTTAAAAAAATTTAAAAAAGATTTGTCATTGCTCCTGTAAGTTTCAACAAAGCAGAAATTAAATCTCCTAAACTAAGGAGAACTGAAATAAACTCAAACCTATGAAATACATTAATTTTACTGAACTGGTTCTGTTTAGGACTGTCAGTCATTCCACACAACAGGACTGCCACAAAATTGAGGTCAGACCCTTACATGCTGTCTCAAGCTAAACAGGACTATGATTCTGGGAAACTATCTCACCAAAAATTAAAATTTTGCTTTTGGAAATAGTATAAAACATTGATATGAAAATCAATCAAGCTTATTATTGAAGAGATTGCTTCATTTACACAATTATAATTACTCCCACATTGTTTTATTAACAAAAACAGTTGGTCAAAACCTACTTCCAGGTTATAACCAATAGTAACTAACAACACAAATAAACCTTTTAAAAAAATTTCCCCAATTGCTTTCAACTACCTTAAACTTTCTAGTTCTGTCACACTAACTAAAAGCAAAAAAAAAAAAAAAAATTTAAAAATTTATTAACTTTAAAGAACAAAACACATTTTAGATCAAACATTATTAGAACCAACAGATCACCATCAATCCTCCAATTTACTTGTGGACCTCTACTGAATTCACATCAAACTTGCACCTAATGTTCTTGCAAGATTCACTTTTTTGAACTAAATCTGTAGCTACCTTCCATGATGTCCTATTCCTTCTGCAGCCCATAATCACAGAACCTCTAGTTAGCTACCTCTAAGATGGTCATCAGTACAAAAGTTAAATACCTCTGGACCAATTTCACCTCTGGCTACTCGCCAAGCCATTGAACCTGATGTCCTTCCACCATACTCTCCAGGTTTCGGTGTTTTAGGAGAAATAAATTCAACAAGCTCCACAATCGTCCTTTCCAAGAGCTCTCTTTTTCTATTTTCTGACAAAGACTGTTGTCTCTGAAAAAAAAACATTTAGGAAAAAGTGGAAAATTCAGAAAAAAGTGGTATTTGTTATTCTGCTCTAGAGTGACACCAAGAGGGAAAAGTAGAATCGAAAAAAGACTAACATTTAAAGTCTAGGCTGACTGTTAGAAACATTAATTTTATACCACATACACAAATATAAACCACACAAAACTGCATGGTCATTTGACAGCAGTGCTTTCTCTGTGAGGCTGCATGCATTAACTATGTGGATTTCTTTTAACACAAGGTTTGTGCTGCGTTTTTAACACATTTGCTTGGACGATAAATACTTCCATAGCATATTTTATAGCTATTCATATGCATGCCATAGGTGTTCTCAATATTATTTGAGGGAAGAGAAGGGAAGAGTCATTTTCGGATCAAACTTCTCTTAGGTGGAGTGATTTGGTTGGCAACATTCTTGGTTTTGTGATTAAGCCCAAGCAAAAGATTCAGTTGGTCTTTGAAAGCGTTATTTCACTGTAACTAATTTTATCATGAACAAACTATGACACTCCTGGTTTCACAGATATCACAAAACAAAAAAAAAACTTCATTTCACATAAAGAGTGGAAAATAAAGAATTACGTAACACACTTTCTTTGCCTACATGAATAAAACTGCTAGCAGTTTTTTGGAACACAACTTTAAAAAAAATTCACTGAGAGGTTGGTGTGTTGTCTGCGTGACTTTCATGTCAAATATACAAAGTTGGTAAGTGAAGCCTTTTTTAACTGTGGATAAACACAGGGCTGGAAAAGTCTGAGTATGCAAACGGTTATACATCATCTTGTTTTGTGCTTTGGGGATCACTCCAGGCATGTACACTTGGCCCAGTAGGATCTGTAACTTCAGGCTGGTAAGTATGTCAATTATCACAGAATCATAGAATTTTAGGAGTTGGAATGGACCTAACAGATCATCTAGTCCAAACCCCCCTGCCATGGGCAGGGACACCTCCTCACTAAATCAGGTTGCTCAAGGTCTCATCCAACCTGGCTTTGAACAATGCCAGTGTTGAGGCATCTACTACCTCCCTGGGCAACCTGTGCCAGTATCTCACCACTCGCACAGTAAAAAACTTTTTTCTAATTCCTAAACTTCACTCCTTCAGTTTGACTCCATTACCCCTCATCCTATCATTGCAGTTCCTAAGAAAGAGTCCCTCTCCGGCTCCCTTGTAGGTTCTCCAGATACTGAAGAGTTGCTATGAGGTCTCCATGCAGTCTCCTCTTCTCCAGGCTGAACTGCCCCAATTTCCTCAGCCTGTCCTCATAGGGGAGAGGCTGAGGAAGTTCTCCAAAGCAGTTCTGACCACAAAAGTTTGCCTCTTAGGGATCACAAGAGAGGCATATGAAGGGTTTTTTTTTGTTCCAGACAACAATGTGGAACTGGATAACGGAAAGTTGATACAGAGAAATGAGAAACAGCTCCAGCAGAACAAATTCCAGATGCCAAACACCAGTGCTAACACAGCAAGAAGGGAATACACCTCTGCTTGTGCTGATGGATGACAAGCAGTGACTCCAGCAGTTCCTCATAAAACACCAGACCTTCCCTGAATCTAACAGTTGCCTGGACACTTTGGATATCCATATGAAGTACTACAGATCTCAGTCCAGCTCAGTGTAAGTTTGATATGGTTTACCCTAAGTTAACAATACCAATCTACAATTTTCTTCAAGCCATTTTGCTGTAGGGGAAACTCACTGTCAGGGGTCATCACCACTGAAATCAGTGATGCCACACAGAACTGGATGCCCCTTCTGTGCAGTTCTTGTAACAGTAGATGAAAAAAAACCCCAGCTGTTAAAGAATAGTGCTTCAACACAAAAAGGCTTCAGAAAACAGACACAAGAAATGAGTAAGTTTCTCACCTATAAAGAATACAAGTATTCTAATTCCTGTCATCGCCCCCCATCCAGCAGACTCTTTCATATAAATACTAACAGCATGTGAGACACGCATAATGGTCAGACTCTGCAGAGATCAACACTGCCTGTGCTGGGAAAACCTGTGATTACATTTCCTACCAACAACATTGTCATCAATACCATCCATGTACTAAAATGGGTTCCAAGAACTCTTATCAGCTGCCATGGCTCAAACTTCCTACTTTAGTTGTTTGTTTTTTAGTTAAGGTATGACCCTGTACACACATGCTCAGGCTCCACCTTTCTTCGGCAGAAAAAGGGAATAAGGAGGAATTGTGAACTGCACTTTGAAATTAGTTCTGCATCATGTGCAAGTTCTGCTGCTGATGTGTCCTGAAGGACTCTGTGCTTTCAAGAGACCAGTAACTTACAGTTTAAGTGGACCAACCGCTGGGTAAGCAACAGATAATCTGAGGACAGAAATTGAATTTTAAAGGTTTAACAAGGAATACTGCTTCATCTCACATCAATCACCATGCAATTCAATCTAAATTACTAGTTTTTCAACTAGAGTTGACCTGGCTGTAACTATAACCCTTCACAATCTCTACCAAAAAATTGGGGCCTGGAGCAACTAAAAACAATTTGCTTCCCTGCCCCACCATCCAATTTCCAATGAAAGCAGTGGAACGTTCAGGGTCCAATCTCCACTTTCTATAGGGATAACATAAAATGGACTGGAATAGGGCAGTGTCCATACAAAGCAGGTGAAGAAAATCTGTAGTCAGAGTGTGATATGGTACTACAGAATAAGATCGCATGGTGGGTAATCCAGTGGCTACACTACCCTGACCCAGATAAAACACACACAGTATTTTTGAGAAATAAAATAGTGCACTGAAGAAATTAAATTATCCTTGTCATCCATTTAACAGTGAGCCACTAAACATCCTTTGAACTGTTGTGTGGTCTCTGACAACTAAACAGACAGACAAGCAGAGAAATAATGAGCATAGCCACTGCTCTTTATGCAGGAAAGAACGACAATGATCTCACAGATTCCATTTTTGCTAACGTTGCAGTACAGGTGATAATGTACCCTGCATGCTGTGCTTCTCTTTAGTTGTAACCTAGAAAAACTGAGCTTAAACGATGCAGTGTTGGAGTTTTACATCAAATGATACAAAAACTACAATCCCTCCTAACATGGATCTAGTCTCTAGGAGATAATGGGAAAAGGGAAAGTTAGAGGAGGTCTCCGTATCAGGTATAGGCTGAATAGGCTGCAGTGAAGGAAACCATACTAGCTGAAGTGGAGACTTGTGACTGAACAGAGTAATGAAAACCTGCTTTAAGGCATCTCATTAGTTCCAGGAATGAGCTACCTTACTAATCTATGACTGCAGAAGCACCTGAATGCAACACGGAGAACCTCAGACAGCAACCTTTTAATGTTCCTTTGGTTCCCACTGCACTGTCATCTTAGTATGAAATTGTCCCTTGACTAGGGACAAATGTAATAAAAAAAAACTGTTCTTTTAGCAATTCAGTGACAAATTGCCTCTAAGCTCTTGAAATCCAATCCCAGCTATAACAGGAAAAAAAAAGAAAAGAAGCAAGAGCAGTTACTTTCATAAATTTATTATTTTAATAAATTAAATGAATCAAACATTCTGAACAGCTACTGGACAAAAAGTTTGTGTGGGAGGAGAGGAGTGTGAATATCATTCAGCTTATAGAAAGAGAGAGTTAGTTGCTTTTCAGAATAAGATACTATTAAAAAGACTGACATAGGTGTTCTAATAAAACCACAAAAAAGCTTTAATACTACTGGAAAGCAGTAGGGAACGTGTGCAGCATAGAGAAGAAAGGCCTGAGATTTTCCACATATAGAGAAAGGAAGTTAGGAGGAATACAAATAGTGTATTGGAAGCATAGCTTTCTTCCCTGTACTAAAATTAAGTTTTTATATGAAGTATGAGCAGAATGCTTGGTCTTTCTGTACAAAAAAATGCTCATGTCAGCTTGAGAGTGGCACAGTCCTATAAAGCAGGAGGAAAGGAGTAAGAAACAGGCCAACAGTCCAACATGCAGCACCATCCGTTGGAGACAGCAATGCCATTTTTAACTGAGGTTTCCTAAACTTCCCCAAGTCAAAGAGCATAATCCTACAGTGACCTTACTGCGTCGAGAAGGATGTCACACTTTCCTGATTCCATCAATATTGTCAGGGTAATTTTTCAACTTACTAGAGCCCCATTTCCAATGTGCTTTCCATACAGACAACTGACAGAGGAGTAGAGTGTGGTGACTGGTTTCTATTGCCAGTAGATCAGAAAAAAGGCCCTATCAGACCAGTTTTGTAGCCAGTGAGAGTTCAGTGCTTGGAAGGGATGCCATTAAGCTCCTGCAACCCTGCACAAAGGGCATGCATTCCTCAACTTGAATTTCTGATCCTTTACCTCCTTTTACTTTGCTACTCTGGTTAGCCTTCTCAGTGCTCCACTCTGCTATGTGACTAACTTTTCATTACTGTTAAAATGATTTCAAGCCCTGGCCGCAAACACAAGTCCAGCTCAGGCTCTTAGTGGGTGGCTGTAACTCTCAAGCCAGCAGGCCTCTACGAAGGCACAGTCTGCTTATTAAGCCATCAGCTGGATACTATCACTGGAACTAAGGTTTCCATGCATGGGCATTAGCCCTGTAAGGAAGTGGGGACAAAACAGGACCTCACAGGTGGTTCAAGATTTTATGGTATTCTAGTATACTGAACCAGGAAAACTTCATCTTATCCCAAGTAGGGAGTGGAAGAAGTTTAGCAGAGAGGTGCTGAGTGTGCTTGGGCTCTGTGACTACGACATGCAGGTACAAGTGGCTCCATGTGTTTTGGGGATGTTTGGCATGAATAGTGTATGTATATATACAGGTGGCTCTGAGCCAAAGCTCTGCTGATGGTATCTATGCTTTTTGAAAGTCTTGGAAAAAGCCTGTGAATCATTCCTCCCACCTCCCAGAGCTTGTAGAAAGTCACAGAGAGCAAATTAGGCCCACATTTTTTACAATTATAAATGCTATTGTTTTCAAGTTATAGCATTATTGACGTAGAAAATGCTCAGCCACCCTCAAGGAGCCCACAGACCTACAAAGCAGTTGCAGTTTACCCCCAGCATCTGTTGATCCTTAAGTCTACTCTAGAGTTGCTAACAAAAATAATATATACACATATATCTATGTAATAGATAATATGATAATTCTCTTCCATAGCATTATCTTATTTCCCAAAAGTTCAGCACTGTGACTGATTCTTATGTCTTCAGTGTAAAACGAGGTCTGTATAGTTAACAGAATTTTACACATCCATAGTGCATGGACATTCCTATCAGGTTACCAAATGCATTCCTTCGTTCAAGGACTTCACATTCTGGAGACACTCATGTTTCACTTAAGGAAATCCATCTAAGAAAAGCCACATACCGTTCTGTTTAGTGCATTAATTGTCTCACGCAGCATAGCTTCACTGAGTGCTGTCCTTCTGGAGAGTACTTCATTATGTTTGCAGCTGTATCTCCAGGTGACATCAACAACCTTTAGTGGAAGTTGAAGAAAATAAAACAACCAAAAATTATCATGCATCTTGCTTCATTTAAAGAGGCTACCTAATTAAAGCATGTTTTTCTATAATGATTCTGGAAATCACACCAATATGGAATACATTGCACACTTGCCTTAGGGCAAGTTTGTTTATTATTATTATCACCACTACTCTTACCTCATCTTTGGAGAATGCAATTATGTAGGAGAGCTTCTTTCCCCACCCAGTTTCATAGAGAAGGGGTTTATCACAAGCATTTTCACAGGGATCACAGTGAAGCCATCTTTTCTGAGATGAAGAATACACTTCAGTCCACACATGATCTATATAACAAAGGCCAAGAATAAACAATGAATTATAAGGATAGAGCCTCTCTTCTAATCTTGTAGAATACTTTAACTTTTCCCAGTTAAATGAGGCAACAGGTCAAAGAACATGTTTTCTGTTTATCTACATTCTGAAACATTACAAGAGTTTTTTATCTTTCTTTCTATCTTAGGAACACAGTCACATTTATCATTCTGCAGTCATTCATCTAAACTTCCTTGCAGACCTATATTTCATCTCATCAGACAAGATGGGAAAATGAAAGCATATTGTCTTTGCTAGCAGAACTGCCTAACTTCATACACTGCCTGATGGCTAACATAACCTGAGAAACAAAAAATATGCAATCTCATTTTGCATAGATTTGTATTAATGTTACAATACTCTAGAATACTGATACCTGTGCAGTCCCAGACATATCTAGCCTCAAACCCTACAGCTCTGCAACACAGTGTAAAACAGTTTGCCCACTCGCCACAGCGTCCACGTCTGGTTTCCAGAAGTTTTTCAGGGTTGTTATACCTAGAGGAGAAAAACAAACAAAAATACATTTCATCTTTCATAAATCATGACTGGTGTTCTGATGATTTGAACATATTTCAGTACCATCTAGTCACAAGCATTACACTTTGTGATTTCCCATGAATGTGAAAGGTTTGCCTGCAATAACAAAGCCCTACCTATACATTCTGCCAACATTAACATACTTTATTTAGAAGCTGTACTTCCAGTCAACAGTAAAAAAATAAACAAACAAAAAAACCCAAAACAAAACAAAACCAAAAAAAAACCAAAAAAAAAAAAAGGAAAAGAAAACCAGACAAGTATCCACAACAAGACCACAAAAAAGAAAGCAATATATTGGGTTTTTTTAAGTCTCTAATCTTGTAGACCAATTGCTGGTTCATCAACCATTCTATCATGTTACTTAAACCAGCTTCTCTAATCTTTCAACAACTTACCACTTGCTCACAAAACACACAAATGCAAAGCTCTTTCTTTAAAGACAAGAAAGAAGACAAAGCAAATCTCTGCATGCTCACCTTGGGAACCTATTACAGAACTGACACTGGTTACAGTAATGATTTTCCACTCGAGGAGCATTCCACCTTAGATCATCATCAGTAGGCAACAGGTAGTCACTTTTAGACTCTGTCTGCCCACCACACCTACTGCAAGGAAGGCTATTCACCCAATGAAAAAAGGAACTCTTAAACCAATCCAAAAGCTCCAACAGTAAGAAGTCCTCTTCATTCACATGTGCACCTGTAAAATTTACACAACACACACTTAGCTCAAATGGGAAAGTAATTAAGTTTAACTTCACAGTATCTATGCAGATCAGCATCTCTCAGCCTTTATTAAACTTTTGATGTATAAATATATATATTTCTAAGATATAAAAACTGTATTATAAAGCTTCATATATTACTTATGCACACACAAAAAAGAAAATCTGAATTGTCAAACTGTATATTAAAAGAACAAAAAACTGCACTGCTAAACACTACAGCTAGAGTGAAAATAAGAAATCGCTCAGAAAAACAAGACAGATATACATTGAAACCTGGTGAAGTTCCTCATGCCCCTCACTCTTTCAGGGCTTCAGAAGAGAATGTTAATTCTTTTTCTGCTCCTAAATATTATTTTCCTATACTTAGCTAGTAAACTAGAAATAACAATTGCTTTTTATTTCAAAATCCAAAAAAGCCAGATACTGGTAGCAGTCTTAGATGACCAGGTGTAATGGGAACAGTCTTTCTACAAACACAGCTTAATTATTATAAAATATGTGCATATGCCATGCAAACAAGTTGAGTTTCTTTCTAAGTTCAGCAAATAAAGACATTTCTCAGCTTACCCAAGGGTGACACAGGATGTCTTTAATTTTCTGCTCTGATCTTACCACACTAGACCACTAGACTCTTCTGGCCCATTTTCCAGTTCACAGGTATTGGAAGTTACTCAGACACTGTCACTGTCCTGACACCTGGATATAGCCCCACTTTACTGAAGTATCAAATATAGAAATCCAGTCTTTCAAGAGAGATCCATCCCTTCTAACTCCTTACAACTTTTAAATGCATATGCCCAGAGATTTAAATGCTTTAAATGCTCCAATGCCCAGAGAGAGACTCTTCCTTCAAATAAGTTTTGAATTAACTCCATCACCAAGGCCCCACTGCAACCACAGGCATTAACCCCTGGTTATTTTTATGTACTACACCTTGCTTCTAGTTACAGCACAGACAGGTTTGACTAATGGATACCAACATACAGAACTAATGTATTAAAATGCTGTTTAAAGGAAGCTGAAAGAAGCTGCACCAAATTTGTGCACTAGTTCCTTTTGCAGGATGGTGAAGAAAGACTTGGTGAGATATGTGCTTTATTTATTTAAGCTCATCTTGCTCTGAAGCTGCAGTCACCTTTGTACAAAAGATTCTGTAGGGGCCCCAATGCTATTAAACACACATCGCCAAGACATGGGAAGAGATCATCTGTTAATCAAAGCATGAACATCTGACTTCTAATTATAGTAAAATTTCCGTTTTTACTTATGTACATGAAAACCCTTTGTGCTGGAACACTCAGAAAAGGGCTTACTGCTTATAAAATAGATATGCTTGTATATTCAATCTCCTAAAAGCTGAATGAGAGGATTTCAAGCACAGGCCATGCTCTCTTTTTCTGTGTAACAATCATCAAATTAGAAACCATCAATGAAACTTTCACTGCTATGATATGAACATTCTTCTCTTGGTTTGTAAAATAAATCCTTCATTAAAACACCGCAGGAAAGAATGACCAATGTGATTTATCTGAACAAAAAACAGTCATTTGTGACATGCAGCTATTCTTTACTGTGCAGTCCACCCTTCTAACAGACTGTGGTAAAGGGAAAAAGCAATAAAACAAATCTATAGTTCTGATCAAATAACTAAGCTTCCTAGCATAGTATTTATGACCCAAAAATGCTTATTATGTATAAGTCCTAAAACCAAGTGTCCCCAGCACTCAGTAGTGATTCCCAGAGGTGGCTGTCCTAATATAGCACTACAGGTAAGCCAAAGCAGCTGAAATGGCCAATCACCTGTATATCTCACACAGGCCATAACCCAAAAAATGTTTCTATAAAGCTGTTTCAAGCTGTCACAATCCAGAACAGTGGAATTCCATCCTTTCCCCTTTATTTATATCTCAGTTAAGGTCTGGAAGTTATTTTGAATAGATCAGCTTGATTCCTTGGGAAGAAGCACCTAAAAACACTACCCTCCTCCTTCCTCCCACTTTTTAAGCAATGAGCAGAGCAGTATTAGAACAAATTCTAAGAGGTCTGCTTGTCCTTTTTAAAGGAATTTAGTAGTTGTCATTTATTACTGATAAACCTGTTTTCTCCCATTGCACTGTCCTACACTGCTGGAAGACAATGTTTTGTATTGTTCATGTGCTTTCTTATTTACCAGTACAGTTTGACAAAAAAGAAAAATTGCTAAGAAAATCCATTGTCAAAAAGTTCCCTAGTGCCAAAAGTACAATTACATAGTAGTGTGTGGCTCTATGAGACATCACAAAGTAATTTATAAAAAAAAAAAAAATTAAAAAATGAGAAGAGCTTATTTTTCGTTTGCAAATCAACAGCACTCCCACAAAGTTAGGAGAATTGCTTCAAACAGAGTCTTCTATCAAAGATCCACAGTGTAAAGGATTCTTTTTTGAAAAAATAAATACAATTCTACCCAAGATTTTTATATTTATTTGTATTTATAATAGTATTAACTTTATTGCATTTACTTTATAGGGGTTTTTTAAATATTTTTAATATTTATCCTATAGAAGTAACATCTCACTATATTGCTGAAACAAATCTAAAACTGTTACCTGAAAATAAAAATATGTAACTTTAACTGCCAAAAACTTCATACATTCAAAACAAATTAGCATTTATGAAGAAAATATAAATTTTAGCCACTGATGCCACAAGTATTTATGCCTGCATTTCCCACCTAGCTCCAAGAGGATGGCATGAGAACCACCCTTATCACTAAAGCATTAAGAAGAAAGGCAATTCTGTGTATCACAGTGCATCTTGGACAGGTCTTACACACCATGCCACCAATATAACTTTAAAAAAAGAGAAGCAGCATGCAAACATTTTATTCTGAATTAAGAACTGTAGTATGTACGGTAAAATTGCAAGTGACACTTTCAAAACAATGACAAATGTGCAACAGCACACCCTCACCCTGTTCGTTTCCCCAGCACTGTTTAACACTATTTCAGAAATTACGATTCCAAAATTTCTACATGAAAGCAGTAAAGGATGGATGACAAAAAGGAATTGAAAAAATAACAGAGGGAGTGGGAAACTAGGAAGAAAGTAATTCCAATTTAGAAACAGCATTTGGAACCTGCAGACATATGACCAAATACACACACCCAATGCATAGTATGTTTGAAAGAATATTTGTAGTTTCATGTACGTTATAACTTGGCAGCATTACCTTTGTCCAGTCTTGTAGCTTGTGCTAGTTTTTTCTGAGCCTTCCTTTTCAATTCCTGGAGTGGAATTGCAGCTAGTGCTTTCTGCTGAATAGAAGGATTCTCATACATCATTACAAGATCCTTAAAATTTGTTTGAAGTGTTTTCAAGATATTTGCAGCCTGCAAAAGGATTTTCAGTCACATGATGGTTTATGAACTTCTACCTTAAGGCAGAAGAACCAAGCTCTCCTATTTTAGTTTAGGTCAGTCATAATCCTACACTCATATTTACATTATATATTTCTTTACAGGTGAATTTTTATTTGCAAAAATATCAGCAAAAACTGCAGACACCACCACCCAAACTGCAAAGCCAGCCTTGTCACCTCTGAGCATTCCAAATGGTGTCCCGAGTTAAAAGAGTACTGACTCAGAGAGAAGATAAAAATGTTTCTGAAGACACCTCTAATAGCAAAATTTTTTACTTCTTCCTCTCTCCTCACCCTCCCACCTTTCATTTGAACACCTTTCACCTGAAATCCACAAAAGAACCTGTAATCAGTTTCATTTCCTGGACACTGCTACACCAGTTCACAGAACTCTATCACTGATGAATGCTGCTTTTCCATTTCTTATTCATGAATGATGCTTGTCTATTTCTACTTCCTTTTCTCCCAGATCAACTGACACAGAACTGAATAGAGAGTCCTGTGACCATAAACTGAACAGTGTGTTTCAGCAGAAATTGGGTATTAGAACTAGGCTTCTTCAGTCAGTCATCCTAAGTGTCACCTAGTGGCAATTGCATGTTGCACTCAGTAAGGTACACCCATAGCTACTAAAATAAACAGCTAAAGTTAATAATAATGGAGTTAGCAGCAGTGCAAACTTTTCCCACCCATTTTAAAGGGGAACAATAGAGAAAGCAAAATGGGATTTTAGAATTAAGGGTCTGGGATATTTTGGGGGGAAGCACGTGGCACTGCTAAATTACCTTTTCTCTACTGCTAGATCATCCTTCAGCCTTCAGCCTTGTTAACTACCACCTTAATTTAATCAAATATCCTACACTTTCCTGAGATGCTGGCAGCAAATGCACCAGAATACACAGGTGTGGAACTCTTCAGAAGATAACTTCTTTCAAAGGAGTACTAAAACTACAAGTGATTTTATGATAAGAAATGCTGAAGAGACACATGAGGCAAAATAATGATGGGTTTGGCCCCTAGAACTGTGCCTTTTAGGAATATTCCTCTACTGTCTCAGGTGAGCCACTTTTCCCTGTGCTCCCATGAATGACAGGTCTAACACATAGGCAAGAAGAAAAAAAAGCTTGCACTACAAAAAACACTCTAAATCTCTCTGACATTTGTCAGCAGAGCACACAACAATAATACAACTATAACTGCAGTGTACTTGCTGAAAAACAAAAGTCCCACTGCTGTGCAAGCAAAATGACCAAACCACAGCCAGGAGGTATTTTATGGCCTTCCTTCCAATCAGCCCAGACTATACAGATCAAATTCAATGGCTTCAGAGAGCTATCAGTATAGCTCCCTGTAGAGATCAGCTGAGAAACAGCATCCTAATTAAGTACCAACATTGCATTACCAATGTGTCTAAATTGTAGTAAGTTTGGTCCCACCACCCATGCTGAATCTCAAGAAGCATGAGACAGCTGAGGACAAATGGACCCACAACTCTGACGGCTATTGTATGTCAGGGCAGAACAACTAGAAATGAAGAGGCTTAACCTCGGAATACATTTGGTCAGCTTGAAATATGCAACATTATTCTCACTGCAAGATCAACTTTTAACACTTGCAGTACTGAGCAATAAATCACTCTAGAGGTTTCATAATCACTTCCAGACACCATTGCAGAAAGTAGTTGAAGCAGTAAAAATCATGAAGGAGGCCAAAAAAAAAAGACAAACCCAAATCCTCCAAATTCAAATAAACCTCATTAGTATATTTTAGAGGCAACTACTATCATGCAAACATAATTAGATGAAATGTCTCAGTGTTTAAATGCCTACAACAGTTCCTTTCTCAAAGGACATTTTGGGTGATGATGGGTCACTGAGTACTCTACCCCCAAAAGCCATCACTTCAGTTTATGCTTTGTCACTTCTCACCCACTGATCTTGGATAGGTATTAGGAAGAAATAGTATGTCAAATTAAGCACCCAACAATATATTGATAATACAAATTAAAAGAGACAAAGTGTGTTTAAGGATGTATGGGAAGTGAGCTTCTGGAAGGATTCATCTTACACCATCTTATACACTGAAGCGACACTGGTTCCAGGGGGGAAAATTCTTTAGAAGGTTAAACCAACGCATCCTTAAAAGCTTTCAATGAAAGGCATAACTTCACTTTTCAAAGCTGACATGTTGAGAGTCTTCTCCCATCAGGCCAGTTAACATTAGGTATAAGGACTCTGCCTCTGTCTTGAATAGGGAATGGCATCTCTATCTCTTGGACAAAGGAAGCTAAGAGTTAAATCAATATGGATTTGTCCTTGCCTGGCTCAATTCTCGTTTCTCATAAGAGACACATGAAAAAAGAAAACCCTCCTCACAGGCTACATACACATAGAGGTCATAATGCACGAACCAAGACACCAACAATTACAAATGCTATGGTTACGCTCCTGCTCTTTGATAGCTCTCAAGCACCAAAACAAAGTATACAGCCCTACTTTTAGTTTCTCGCTCCTCCCCTTGTTCCTTCATACTGCTGTTCCCTTCCAATACAAATCAGCTCTTTTTTCATGACACCCAAGAAAACACTAACAGACATCTTCAACAAAATCTCTTGCTAATATTCTATTTAGATGTATTTCATGTTTAAGTTGCATTGAGCACTCATATAAACTTCAGAAGCCATTGGAAAAATGTAAAAAATAATTCTCTAGTTCAGCTTCTTGCTCAAAGCAGGATTACCTATGAGGTCAGACCAAGTTGCTCAAGGCTTTACTCAGATGGGGCTTAAAAATGCGCTCATTTGGAGACTACACAGCTTCTCTGAGCAACCTCTCCCAACAGTTAACTCTTCTTCAATCTTTATATTCCAGACTAATGAACCTGTAAAGTTTTCAGGTTATAATTACCATCCCGAGAGACTGCACAAGTGATGTTTCTGGTTGCCGACGGGTAGAGGGAAGAACAGAGTCAGCAGGTCTTGAGGGCCGTTGTGCTACTGTCTGAGTGCTGCCAACAGTTTCAGAGGATCCTGATCTGTGGACTTGGTTTGACTCATTCAGTCTGCTACTCCTCTCTCCAGCAATTAAGTCTCTGATTTTACGTAGTTGCTCAATAGAAGCTTCCTTAGGGAAAACCAGGTGAGTTTCTCCCTGAAATTCAGACAAATTAATACAATAGTTAATGCAGGTCTAAGCTAGTCAATAGTCCCTAGCTATAGCTAACAGTTCACTGGAAGTTAGCATGCTAAGGCTTGGCAGGATTCACCTTTCAGATTAGGTCCCTTACAGCAGAAGCCTGAGGTTTCTCACAGCTTCAGAAGCTGTCAGATCAAAAACCTATGGTCAAACTAGAGAAAAAGGGTTTATAATATGCTTTTGTCAGTAACTTATTTTTCAGAGCCATAAATGGACTACACAGTTATGGTTTGGCAGAGAAAGCAGCTACAACAGAAAAGAACAACAAATGCTCAGTTCTCACAGTACAGCAGTGAAATGCTAGGCAACACAGGAGGACAGCCAATGCTGGGGGAAGAAGCCTCTACAATAGCATCTGCTGAGAATTCTCTTCCACACCAATATCTTGTAGGTTTAAGTTATCAGATAGGAAATATTATTCTTATTGAGACCTGTACCTGGGTTGATTTCTGAGTTTTAGTTTTGATTGTAACATGATTAATGGTAGCAGAACAAAAGACCAGTAATTGTGACAGATGCAAACAGCAGCATACTTAAAGAAGTAGGTTACTAAAAATGTGAATACCCTGAAACATTCATACTTTAGCAGTTTCAGTTTCTACCACTGCAGCAGCACTTCCGTTTATTAAGCTCTTTATCCACAGTTAGGTCACCTGTCATTGCAGATGCAGTGCTTCATGCTAACATGTAAAATCACTACAAAAACTAAATGAAATGTATCAATCCTTCAGAAGAGTCCTCATTTTTTAACTGGGAAAGTTGGCTTACCAAGCCTCGACTGACACAATAACCGTAAGACTGAGCCACACTCTCAGAAACCTGCTTGAGTGTTTCACCAGCAGTACCGATTACCTCATGGCTGAAATACATCATTAGAAGTCTCCTGAGCACCACCATGAGGATAAATCCACAGACCATTTCTCCCTCTGCAGTCACCATTTCCCTCAGCTTACTACAGTTTTTTTTATAAATTGGAACAGTTACAAAATTAACTTTACCCAAAAAAAAGGCAGAGATCTCATGACAGCTGGATCTAGGTAACATAATGTACATGTCCATACATTAGTGTGGCACCAAACACACAAATTAAGAGCAAAGCTAGAGCAAGAGCTTTGCACCATTAAACATGAGCTAGGTTTTCACCCCAGCTCTCCACTAATTACAAAGGCTGCTTCTAGCATAACAAGCTTTGGCAGTTTAAGTTCAGGCAGTGGAATAGGCTGCCCAGGGAGGTGGTGAAGTGACCACCCCTGGGGGTGTTTACAAGGTGCTGGGTGATATGGTTTAGGGGTTACAGTGGTAGTGCTGGGTGGACAGTTGGACTGGATGAGCTTAAAAGTCTCTTCCAGCCTTGATGCTTCTATGATTCTAACTTCCACCAAGACCAGAACCATTTCAGGACACAAAGCAATCTTTGAGATACATCTTTCTGACGGCAACAGAATTCACTCAAAACTATTTTAGGGTACAAATTCCTAACTTTTTTAAATGGGTTAAAGACTCACCCTCCTACTACTACTTGAAAAGTCTACTGCCCTTCACTGCTGTCATGACAACACCAGCACTTGTGCAACTCCACTGAGAACTGGCTGAAAAATACTTACGATTTTGTTTCGGGGGATTAACTTTTAATCACATCAACTTTACTCACTATGGGGTCACAGAAGCTCTACAGACAGTAGGAACAAGAAGGAGAAGAGCAGGGCTTTCTCTTTTTTTTCCTCCCCTCTCTTTGAAATAACAGTTCAACACTTACAGTGTGTGATGTCCACCTAATAGCAGGTTGCTACTGAGAGAAGGAGTTTTAACCCTAGTTCCCACAATTTCCTTTGTGCCATCATGGATATCTATCTGCCCATTAAACAAACTAGTAGTGCACTTGAACAGCAGAAAACCAACCTGGTCACAGATTAAGTTAGTTCTAGCTCCACCACATTTCTGAATTATTTCATCTAAATTCTCTGCTGGTTAACTGCAGGTATTTGCAGGCAACAATTGAGAGAAAATTGCAATTGGCTTAAAATCCATTGCCTTGCAACTGGGGAAGCAGGAAAAAAGTTATCCAGTTTTAAATTTTAGCGTGTAAACTGATGAAGACACCAGAATTAACTAAATTATACTCACCTCTTGAAACCCCATCTCAAATAAACATTCAACTGCTCCTCTGACAGGCAGCAGCCTTGTGGAAAATGCTGGATTTCCAATCCGAATTAATCTGTATTTTTCTTCATAGGGATTCCTGAAGAAATTGAAAGTTGCAATTATGCTTGCAAATTAAGTAAACATTTAAAAGCTGAGTAACTACACTTTAAGAGTTCCTTTTATAAAGCTTAGTTTCTGTGTAGGCAGAATGTGAAACCTACCTAAAACTTTGATTTAATCCATGTCCTTCTGCACTTTACTCCAAGTTACAAACTGGTGCTAAATCTTAGTTTGCCACTTCAATTCATAATTACCTATTTTGCAGTCCTACCCAGCAGGACTCAGTCTGCAGTGACACTTAAGAGACAACTTCACATCTCCCTCCACTTTGCAGCATTCTAATTGAACTCTGGTTGACGCTGGATAGCTCTAGTCCCACCATGGATGCTACGCTAAACTGCTTCTTACATGGGCAAAACTTCTCGAAGGGCTACCTCTCCATTCCCCTTTGCTTTCAAATCTTAAAAGCCTTCTTCTCTTGCCTCTTTCTGTACAAGGAGTCAGCCCAGGACCCACCATCCTGTGTCACACAAGCAGCTGCCAAACCAGACACAGGCAGGGAGGGGCAGCTCCTACACTTCGGGCTGCAGGAAGACATCAAGGTCAATCACACATATTGGTGTGTATGTGCACCCTACAGAGTCAGCTCACAAAAATTCAGCTATAATTAACTGCCGGTACCAGCCTCATATTGGTGTGTATGTGCACCCTACAGCGCCAGCTCACAAAAACTCAGCTATAATTAACTCCCGGTACCAGCCCTGCTAAGTCAGAAGGGGAATACAAGAATAAAATCAAGTTACTATTTTAGCTTACTTAAATCAAGCCGCTATCTTAGCTTACTTAAACCGAGTTACTATTTTACCTTACTTGTTATCCACCCACTGATTTTTAGGTGGCTGGACGCTTGCAGAGAACCGGGGACAACACATGATTTTGTGTTTTAACACCAAAAAACCAGAACAAACAAACAAACAAGAAACAAGCCTTCAAAACAAACCAACGACCGATAAAGAAAGAAAGAAACCCCCGAAACACTACGTGTGACAAGCAGCCTCACTTTGAAATGACGACAAAAAGACGCGAGATGCTTTCGAACTTGGCTGTTACATAAGGAAGTTGGATCACGCGGCTCATCACCGCGATGGTGTCTGGAG